ATATGAGCAGTACATCTGGGAGTTAAGACAAGAGGTACCAAGGCCGATCTACCCCCCAAGGAAGAACGTGGCAATGAACGTTGTGGGGGTAGAGCTAAAGAGGTTGGCCACTTTCTCATGGGTTGGGAGGAGATTTTTTCGACAAGAGGAATTGACTAATAAGTACAAAATGCTGAATTTAATTGCGGTTTTGAACTTCACCCCAATCAGACGAAAGAACAAAATCCTCCCCGAGATGGCCTGGTTTCTATACGCAATTGGGAAGGGCCAAAGCATAGACCTCCCCTCCTTGATTTTGGCAAAGATGAAGAAGGGATGTGATGTGAAGAGAAACTCACTCCCTTTTGGCACCCTGGTGACTAAGATATACACAGACCATGGGATTAGGGTCCGGCTGGAGATGACAATACAGAGACCGATGGGGACACTTAATAAGGCCTCATTCCGACGAAGCCAAGGCCACAGTGGAGCCCCGATGGCTAGACAGGAGGTGCCTCCTACCCGAGGCGTCAATGAGGTGCAGGATAAGCTACATGAGGAAGATGAGAGAGAGTTGATGCTAAGAGAGAGCATGCACAGACTCAGGAGGATGCAGGACTCAATACCAGCACCCGACGCTTACTTCGAGAGATCATGCTTAGTATTGAAGCTAAGCAGGATGAGATTCTTCACCTTTTGAGGGGTGGAGCTGGTGCATCTTGTGGAGAGTGAGAGAGAGATTTATTTTCTTGAGTGTAGTTGTGTGTGTGTTTGTTTCTTCCTTTGTGCATTTCTTCATAGTTTAACTTTTCTTGCATTAATTTAAGTTCCAATTTTCATTTCTTCACAATTTCTATTTACTTTATGTAAGATTTTGTATTAAATATGAGTAGCTAAGCTTTAAGTTGGCTAATCTAAGGGAGAATTCCTCTTGGATATGCTAAATCAACTCTTTTTAATTCCTCCACGTAGTGTACGACAGTTTGGTTTGACTAGATTGAGTGTGGACGTGGTTGTGAGTTCTTGATAAACCGTAGACTTGTCACAGGGTATGCTTGAATCCTTGCCTCCATTTTAGTTTCTCGCTTCCTACGAATCAATCGAACATCTAGGCACTGACTTGATCCAAAATGAATACACCCAAGTGCAGGCGGTCAAGATGTAGTAATAATCCAGTTGAGTCCGGAGTAGAATCCACAGGGAACTGTGATTAGTGTTTTGAAGTAAGCAGTGACAGAAATCGAGTAACTGGAAACCTTAAGAGTTTGAAGTTGTGGGATTTCCTGAATAGAACATAAGATTCTTTCCAAGAGTTTTCTAGATAAAATATAAGATAAATTCAAATGTGAAATAGTCACTCTTTAGCTTGAGGATCAGAATATGTAAGTAATCATCTGGTTTGTTATACGTGTGCCTTATAACTCAATTAACTCCCGTGTCAATAGCAAGTTAATCAAAAGATAAAGATGGACTGTGTGAATTAAGCACATGGTTTCGATGCCTTCCTATAAGTTTACAAGAATTGCCTGTGCCGAGACTCAACCCACCTACAAACAAGCAAGTGTTTCTACAAGGCATCCAACAATGACATTAATGTTCTATTCTTTAAATAAAGCACAATAATGGTGAAGATTGAAATGTTGTCATAAAGATCTAGTCGAGGCACTTGCCTTGAACCAACAGGTCTTTACATGCAAGAGTCATCCGTGACATAGAAAGAACTCATGGTTATACAAAGTACCTTAACTTTGTTAGATGCATTCAATCATTTAATTAGTGAAATATAAAGCATTAAAGCATAAAGAAAATGCACAAATATAACTTCTGAATAATCAATACATGTTTATCACCTCTTACTAAAGAGTGAATGAGGAACTACTCACTCTTAATGGCTTGGGTAAAGCTAGAAAAATGAGCGATACTCATCCCTCCAAGTAAAGGAATTTCAAAATGAAAGTAAAATAAACAAGGAGTCAATCTTCAATAAAGAATGAGTGAATCACGTTCCACCCATCACGGCTTTGGTAAAGCTCTAGAAAAGTGGAAGAGTTTCACTCCTCTACAAAAAAAAGGAAGCCCAAGAAATGGAAGTGAAATAAAAGAACAACACAAGTAAAAGAAAGCTAGTCACATTTGGAGGGTTGCTTCCTCAACCAAAATATAAACTATCTCCCTTGATACAAGTAAATATAAATCTAGCTATATGAGTGGGAGTCTAAGCCTCCATCTAGCTCTTGACTAGTGCTTGGTGTAGTCTAAGCCTTACAAACCAAGTTCTAGTCTTCTACAAGAACCTCCTCGTTTGAAGCTCCCATAATGGGAGTATTTATAGGCAAGGAGAAGGAGGGGGGCGGTGAAAGAATAGTGTATGCTGCCCAAGTCCAAGTGAAAGTCAACCACTCTGCAGTCTGTCTGTGGAGGACATTCGAACGTGAGTTGGCATTTGAACTTTGTGTTTTTTCTTTATGGACATTTGAACGTTGTATGACTTTCGAACGTTTCTTTTGTCTTTTCTTTATGGGCATTCGAACGCTAGATGGGGTTTGACGCTCTCACTCAAGTGGCTCGTGGTCTTCTATGGAAACCTATTTCCACACTCTACGCAGAACTTGGCACTTTGCACTATCGTCTGGTCTTCAATCAATTCAAGTGAACGTAAGTTGACGTTCAAACGTGGTACTCAAGTACTTCAAGGTCTTCCTTCTTGGCTGCAACACACCATATCTCAGCAATCTGGTCTTTTCGTAGTTCAAGTGGACGTTCGAACGTGAGTTGGCGTTTGAACGTTCTTGCTTTGTTCCATGCTTCTCCAATTTTGTCCCAAATATGCTGGTGTTATATCCAAGTGTGATTTTTGTTGTTCTTGAGCGCTTGTTCACTTTAGGACCTGAAATATCATCACTTAAACTCCATCAAAGTATAATTAGTCTTAAAAGAGCATAGTAATATGCTAATTTTAACTATTTATCACACCCCCCAACCTAAATATTGCTAGTCTCTAATAATACAATAACAATGGAATGCAAATCTATTTCTAATGCCTTTTTCGTAGGTCATCCGGTTACATTTAGCATATGCAACAAGCCGTTGAACCACTAGGTTTAGCCTAGTGGACGAGTGTTGTCTGATGAGGATTTTCAGTGAAGCTACCCATAAACTTCAGTCGAACAGATTTGTATGTGGGATTGCTGATTAAAGTAAATTAACATCATGGTCGTTGAGATACCCAACCCTCAATTTTGACTTACATTTGCATGCTCCTCGTTAGTAGGTATTTGTTCTATGCAAAAATTAGCATCAGTTACATTGGCATTTGAAATTCCCTGTATAGTAAGAATGGTCATTCTAGAAACAAGAATTGATTCATAACAAGCATTTCACTTTACCACCTTCTATGGTTAGCTTTGATTTCACAAACCTCTCTTAAAAGTGCCCTCAGCAAAAAATTGCTCCAGTTATAGTGACTTGTCTCTCAAATAGCATGTGATCAGAAGATGGCTAGTCGAAAAATACAGTTAGAAAATGAGTGAAGTTTAAGGAAACAAACTAATCATGTTTTGGCATAATCTCATGGAGGAATATTGATGCAAATAAAGAAATACAATTCGACATGCCCCAACTTTTGATTGGCAACACACACATGCATCAAACCTGGGATCAACTAGGACTTTGTATAGGTTGTAACGTGGTCAGAAGTCAGTGGCTGACAAAATAACGTCAATGTTATTGAAAAGCTATCTTCTTATTATGTAGTGTAGCACATCTCTTTCTAGCTTTTCGATCTTTTGCCTTGCAGTGGTATTTCTTTTATTTTTTTCTTTTTTCACTTTCATGGCAATTCCTTGTCTTTCGGTCTCTTTTCTTTTTCGGTTGTTCTCACCAATTTTTTTTTTCTTTTGTTGAATAGTGGATACTATTTTCTTCTCTTTCTCTTTCTTTTCTGTATCATACTAATTTATAAGAGGGTGCAAGAAAATTAGATAGCAAGGTATGTCAAGTACATTTTCTTGTGGCTCGGTTAGCATTTAAGTTTTTCGAAAAAAAAAATCATTTATTGAAGGCTCAAGCATAGCTAACAAGGGATATTCTTTTAAAAGAAATAGCTAAGGCTCAAGGTTAAATCAAAGAAGACCTAAGATCATTTCTCAAGTATGTGCACCTATGTGTCGTATGAACAAACTTGTCAATAGATTACTTTAGTTGCATTAATCAAATCAAATTTAATGAGATTATTCAAAAATAAATAGTAAAAAACTTTTTTCGAGTAAACGTTGATCTCCTCTCAAAAAGCAAGGCTCCAAGTTTACCATAGTATTTTTCGTTATCTCTACTGGTTGTCGGGTTGTTCCGAGGAATGTCAATTATATATCGATTCCATTTTTGAGTCTGATCATCTTGTACCTTAAGAACAATAAATACTACAATTAACAAATACTATAGATAAAAAAAATAAGTATTTAATAGATACTATAGACACAAAATGATTATTCTATGATTTTTTAAATAATAATATATGAAATGTTATAAAATTAATAACTTTTTGTTGACAGGAATATTAAGAAAAACATGACACGTACCAAAAAAAAATAAGACACAAAAATGACACGACATGACTTGACANAGAATATTAACAAAAACATGACACGTACCACAAAAAAATAAGACACGGCATGACTTGACACCTCTACTTTGAATAGATCTCTGATATCACATCATGATGTCAAAGCTAAAACACAAATGCTTCACCAACAAATAAGCAGAGCTACAACATGCATTTCAGTACAACTTACTTACATATCAAGTGTGCTCGCATTAATAAACACAATATAAATATACCATCTCCGTTGTCAATGTACTAAATTCATTCATTTGCAATCTATGCCTGCTTTCTTAGAAATGATAGCTAGTAAGGCGGAAGTAATTAGAGANAGTCAATGTACTAAATTCATACATTTGCAATCTATGCCTGCTTTCTTAGAAATGATAGCTAGTAAGGTGGGAGTAATTAGAGATCATGGTTGCTAAGCAGCCTCAGCAAAACCCAGTTGGAGATTGCCATAGTCAAATACGGTGTGATACACCCCCATGAAGACATCTCCAAGGATCCTGCATGCGTAGATATATTTTTTGCGTAAAGATAACATGTAATTATGTATATATCCATGCAAGTGGCCTCGCAGCACACAGGAATATCACACAAATGTTAGTAAAAGGAACATACCACAAAGGACCTCGTGGAGGTGGTACATCCAAAGCCATAAACCCACTGAGGCAGATCGTTGCAATGCCTTCTCCAGTCTTAAGAATATACTGGAAGCAAGCAACCAAGTACAGATTACCAAGTTAGTCCCAAACGATAAAAATCCATGTAAGATCGGTATGTGTATTGAGAGTATAGAGTTACATTGCTTAGTTTAAGGGTAGATGTTCCCATCCTGACAAATTCTTTGGAATTTCTCAAAAGATATTTACCAACTTAACATCAAAATTGTTACCCCACTTCAATCATTCATGCGCCTATCAAGGCTATCTCACATGCAGTCAAACTAACATGGTAATACATATTCATGTGATAGCTACCAAGAAATTGGACCATGGCTCAGATGGCAAAAATTTCTGCTTAGCCTAAGTTCTATGGTTGAATCTTGCACAAAGTAACAAAAGAAATATTGTTAACACCAAAAATGAATAGGAGAAAAGGTAGATACCATACAAAATTCATGCTCCAGGGAAGCAGTCCTCCCCTTTCTAATGTCTAGTATCATGCACAATTTTTTTGGTAACAGGCATTGTCGTTCCATTTGCTGTTTAAACTCATAATTTGTTATTTCCCCAAAAGTTTCCCACTTTTTGACACATTACCAGCTACTTCTCAACAATTTGTGTCATTATTATCTGCTAACTCAAACATTAAATCAGACAAGCTGAGTAACTTCCCAATCTCTAGTTTATCAACATAAATCAGCTGACTCAATATAATTCTTATTCTCTAGGTGATTCACAAAAACTAGTTCCGCATGAGAAGACAGTGAAAGCATTAGATCAAAAGAAATAGTGAAAAAGAAAACCTGTTCTGAAGTGAGGTGGAAAGCTTTATCCCCAATGGTAAAGGTGACATTTGGCATGGATGCAATGCTTTTGCAGTCAATCACGGACTCTCCCATAGGACTTGGTAGGCTCTCACAAAGCTGTTAAACATGATATTTAATCTTCCACTGAAATCAATTGCCATTTTTGGCATCTAAACAGCAGGTATAATTTGGGGGAACATATTACCTGATTCACATAATTTAGAACTGCTTCTTTTGTTCCCTTTTGTTTTAGCTGGTTCTGCATCCATACAACAGCCATTTCACATGCAGTACACATTGGAGTTTCCACGGCAGAAATTTCCTCCTTCCCCTTTTCAACTACTGTTTCGATATAAGAACTGCAAGGAATTACCCACCACTGTCAACTCAAGTATTTAAAGTTAACGAAAGTCAGCTTCAAATGCCTTTGAGCAGCACCTCCTCCCAAAATAAAAAAACAAAAAGGAATAAACTTTTTTATGTAAAATAAAAACAAAAGAAAGGACTTAAAATAAAGGATGAACGAATTTTGGGCAAACGGATTAAGTAGGGTTCAAGCATTTGAAGTAATTATATGAAAATTAGAAAGTCTCCTTCGAACTTATTTGCAGGAAGCTCCAAACTCTGGTGTACGCTGAATCCCAACAGTTAGTTATTCACTCAAAAGGAAATTACAGAACAGTACTCCCAATTTAAGAGGTTTCATGAAAACCCTTCTGCAGCAGTGCTCCACAGGAAACATCAAACACATTTTATTTACAGCAAGAAAGAACACCAAGACATCACGAAACAGTAAGGGCATCCTGACCTCACATACTGAGCTCCATTGTAGATACATAGACCTATTTGTGAGCATACTTTGCCAGGCTGTACCTGCAGACATTGAAGATAAAGATTAAAATCTACTTTCTAAGCTTAAGTTAAATAAACTTACAGAAGGTCAAGAAGAAAAAGAGAAAGGGGAAAACACATACCCCTGATACTAACAGATCCCATATCATCTCCCCATATTGAGTGACAATTTCTTTACATTCCATGCTCACTACTCCTTCTGCCCCAATGGCATGGTTGATTTCAGTGATAACAGTCTGCAATTCATGGACTAATAAGAACATTTATCTAAGGAAATATTGGCTTGTCCAAAAAAACAGGAGCAGAAGCTGATTCACAATTCCTGAGAATCCTTATGAACAGAACCAATTGTAGAAAAGGTAGAATAACCTACAGTTGGACCAGCAAGCAAGGATGTTCCAGAATCCACAATGGCAGCACAACCCCCCTCACAAAAACCTAGCGAAAAGATAAAGCTATAAAAAAACCAAAATAATTTCAAGAATACAGTGTACTTTTCGGACTCGCAGTCCATGAATTAAGATGGATTTAGGATATTGATACTGATATAACGAATAAACACAAAAGATTAAACCTCAAATTAGGGTTCAACCCGAAGAACAGTCTGTGTGCATGTTAATGTGACTAATACCCACATTTTCTGTCAGGAGTGAATATTGAATGATTTGCTGGGAAACAAGGGCTTCCATGTACATCACCAAAACAGAAAAACCAATAACTGCTAGGTTTGAAAAGCTGTGAACATTACCTGTTGAATGGTTCCCAATAAGAAAATCTCCCATGTCAAACTGAACAAGAAAAATGGAAAAAGACATATAAAAGTATAGTTAACGTATTTTTCCAGCAAAAGGAAAAGGTAGAATGGGATGGATTTTTGTTACAAACATTGGATCTTTAATTTTANGGTATGTGTATTGAGAGTATAGAGTTACATTGCTTAGTTTAAGGGTAGATGTTCCCATCCTGACAAATTCTTTGGAATTTCTCAAAAGATATTTACCAACTTAACATCAAAATTGTTACCCACTTCAATCATTCATGCGCCTATCAAGGCTATCTCACATGCAGTCAAACTAACATGGTAATACATATTCATGTGATAGCTTAACCAAGAAATTGGACCATGGCTCAGATGGCAAAAATTTCTGCTTAGCCTAAGTTCTATGGTTGAATCTTGCACAAAGTAACAAAAGAAATANACCAAGAAATTGGACCATGGCTCAGATGGCAAAAATTTCTGCTTAGCCTAAGTTCTATGGTTGAATCTTGCACAAAGTAACAAAAGAAATATTGTTAACACCAAAAATGAATAGGAGAAAAGGTAGATACCATACAAAATTCATGCTCCAGGGAAGCAGTCCTCCCCTTTCTAATGTCTAGTATCATGCACAATTTTTTTGGTAACAGGCATTGTCGTTCCATTTGCTGTTTAAACTCATAATTTGTTATTTCCCCAAAAGTTTCCCACTTTTTGACACATTACCAGCTACTTCTCAACAATTTGTGTCATTATTATCTGCTAACTCAAACATTAAATCAGACAAGCTGAGTAACTTCCCAATCTCTAGTTTATCAACATAAATCAGCTGACTCAATATAATTCTTATTCTATAGGTGATTCACAAAAACTAGTTCCGCATGAGAAGACAGTGAAAGCATTAGATCAAAAGAAATAGTGAAAAAGAAAACCTGTTCTGAAGTGAGGTGGAAAGCTTTATCCCCAATGGTAAAGGTGACATTTGGCATGGATGCAATGCTTTTGCAGTCAATCACGGACTCTCCCATAGGACTTGGTAGGCTCTCACAAAGCTGTTAAACATGATATTTAATCTTCCACTGAAATCAATTGCCATTTTTGGCATCTAAACAGCAGGTATAATTTGGGGGAACATATTACCTGATTCACATAATTTAGAACTGCTTCTTTTGTTCCCTTTTGTTTTAGCTGGTTCTGCATCCATACAACAGCCATTTCACATGCAGTACACATTGGAGTTTCCACAGCAGAAATTTCCTCCTTCCCCTTTTCAACTACTGTTTCGATATAAGAACTGCAAGGAATTACCCACCACTGTCAACTCAAGTATTTAAAGTTAACGAAAGTCAGCTTCAAATGCCTTTGAGCAGCACCTCCTCCCAAAATAAAAAAACAAAAAGGAATAAACTTTTTTATGTAAAATAAAAACAAAAGAAAGGACTTAAAATAAAGGATGAACGAATTTTGGGCAAACGGATTAAGTAGGGTTCAAGCATTTGAAGTAATTATATGAAAATTAGAAAGTCTCCTTCGAACTTATTTGCAGGAAGCTCCAAACTCTGGTGTACGCTGAATCCCAACAGTTAGTNAAAAGGAATAAACTTTTTTATGTAAAATAAAAACAAAAGAAAGGACTTAAAATAAAGGATGAACGAATTTCGGGCAAACGGATTAAGTAGGGTTCAAGCATTTGAAGTAATTATATGAAAATTAGAAAGTCTCCTTCGAACTTATTTGCAGGAAGCTCCAAACTCTGGTGTACGCTGAATCCCAACAGTTAGTTATTCACTCAAAAGGAAATTACAGAACAGTACTCCCAATTTAAGAGGTTTCATGAAAACCCTTCTGCAGCAGTGCTCCACAGGAAACATCAAACACATTTTATTTACAGCAAGAAAGAACACCAAGACATCACGAAACAGTAAGGGCATCCTGACCTCACATACTGAGCTCCATTGTAGANACAAACACATTTTATTTACAGCAAGAAAGAGCACTAAGACATCACGAAACAGTAAGGGCATCCTGACCTCACATACTGAGCTCCATTGTAGATACATAGACCTATTTGTGAGCATACTTTGCCAGGCTGTACCTGCAGACAATGAAGATAAAGATTAAAATCTACTTTCTAAGCTTAAGTTAAATAAACTTACAGAAGGTCAAGAAGAAAAAGAGAAAGGGGAAAACACATACCCCTGATACTAACAGATCCCATATCATCTCCCCATATTGAGTGACAATTTCTTTACATTCCATGCTCACTACTCCTTCTGCCCCGATGGCATGGTTGATTTCAGTGATAACAGTCTGCAATTCATGGACTAATAAGAACATTTATCTAAGGAAATATTGGCTTGTCCAAAAAAACAGGAGCAGAAGCTGATTCACAATTCCTGAGAATCCTTATGAACAGAACCAATTGTAGAAAAGGTAGAATAACCTACAGTTGGACCAGCAAGCAAGGATGTTCCAGAATCCACAATGGCAGCACAACCCCCCTCACAAAAACCTAGCGAAAAGATAAAGCTATAAAAAAACCAAAATAATTTCAAGAATACAGTGTACTTTTCGGACTCGCAGTCCATGAATTAAGATGGATTTAGGATATTGATACTGATATAACGAATAAACACAAAAGATTAAACCTCAAATTAGGGTTCAACCCGAAGAACAGTCTGTGTGCATGTTAATGTGACTAATACCCACATTTTNACAGTCCATGAATTAAGATGGATTTAGGATATTGATACTGATATAACGAATAAACACAAAAGATTAAACCTCAAATTTGGGTTCAACCCGAAGAACAGTCTGTGTGCATGTTAATGTGACTAATACCCACATTTTCTGTCAGGAGTGAATATTGAATGATTTGCTGGGAAACAAGGGCTTCCATGTACATCACCAAAACAGAAAAACCAATAACTGCTAGGTTTGAAAAGCTGTGAACATTACCTGTTGAATGGTTCCCAATAAGAAAATCTCCCATGTCAAACTGAATAAGAAAAATGGAAAAAGACATATAAAAGTATAGTTAACGTATTTTTCCAGCAAAAGGAAAAGGTAGAATGGGATGGATTTTTGTTACAAACATTGGATCTTTAATTTTCACTCACCTGCCAGTAACCCTTTTGCGTGACAGGAACGTAGGTATGCTTTCCCTTGAAGTGTTTTGGATCAACACCGCCAAAAACAAGCTCACCTCCCTCTTTTGCCTCCAGATCCCGATTAAGCCAAAATGAGAATACCTCTTCATTTACAAGACCTTGCTCCACCATATTGTACCTGTATTTCCATAATGATTAATACGGAACGTATGATAATGAACTAGTGAGATAGAGATTTTTCAGTCCAAAGACCAATGATTCAAAGAAAAATTCAACAACTAAACCCAAAGCAAATAATACCAGACTGGCACAGCATCCCCAACAGAAATTTCCTGAAACCCAAGCCCAAATATTCCATCAAACTGTGCCAAAACGAATGCAAGACTTCCTTCTCGTGTGGCCTCAATGAAAACCTGTACAAGAAGAGAGTCATGACCATGATTCAAGACACAAGGATAAATAAAACTTAAAGCCAGACAAGAACTCACCTGATCTTTGACTACAAGATCACCAACTTCAACATTATCTTGACTGAAGAAGCCAGAAACAGATCCAGATCCATAATGAATTGAACAGGATTTTCCTGAATCACAGCGCAACAATAATTAGTTGAGGATGAATGTCAAAATAAATTCAACAAACCAAAAGCTCTGTTATTTCCACTTGAAATATTTGTGACTGAAAAGGGACCCTAACAAACTAGCCTATAACTCAACATTTCCAAAAAAAATTTGCTCAATGCCATCCTAGACTCAACATATAATAGTTGAAATCATATAAATCTCAAGAGAATGGAATTTACCATTTTTGGTATATGAACTGGACCGACTTGCCTTGTACTTAGAATGGAACCAGCAAGCGATCTGCATAAAATTTTGATGATTAGGTGATACGAGGACTAGGATCTAGGAAATGTCACAAAGTTAAGATGAAAAACTCACAGAAAAATAACATTTTGATGATGGAACCCAAAGATTGGAACTGCCAGTGTCAAATATGACAGTGAACTTCTGGGGTGGTGAGCCAATACCAATCTCTCCATAGTATTGAGCATCCAAATAATTCTTCAGGGAAACTATGTCCACATCAGAATCACCCAAATTATGGTTCATGCCTTTCGCTTCATTTCCATATTTTCCTTCCATTCTTGCAACTTTGGCGCCCTTAATACTCTGAAGATCCAAAGGCCGTTTCTTCAAACCAATTCTTACTAGCCCATCACAGGATGCCGGATGTAAAGCGGATGCCAGAGCCCATAAACAGAAAGCCAGGAAAAGATAGTAGCGCCCCATGTTCCCTATTTATAGCATGACTAAAAGCTTAGGTGAAGAGTGGATCAATAATATATACAAAAACGCAGCAGTTTAAGAATATCAGAAAGAAATGATGTGGGCCTAGGTTTAAACACATGAGCAGAGGGAGGGTGGGAGCAGGGGAGGGGAAATATAAAATGCCACTTGAAGACTATATATGTTTAAGACAAAGTGTGTGATCCCACCACAATAATCTAGCATTTAACATCCCTTTCTCAGAAAAGCATGAAATATTGTCACATAAAGGCTGAATTGTCCGGGAAAACAAGTTCTTAGATAGCACAAGCTCAGCTGATGAAGTTTGTGAGTGTTGACATCAGAAAATCCTGGTCAAGAACTCGTACCAAATAGCCAGACCAGTCACATACCATTTTCACTCAAAAAAAATTTTAAAAAATTTCATGACAACCACAAACCAACCATTACCAAACTCTACAACTCAAATCAACTCAACAAAGATTTTGTCCCAACTATATGAGGTCAGCTACATGAATCCTGTTAATTCAATGTGCTCTATGAAGGGTCACGTTTTCCGATAATCTATGAGCTATTATATCTTTTTTTACTATTTCATTTAAAATAATTTTTGTTCTACCTCTACATCCCGCATTATTATCAATATGTATTAAATCACTCTTCCTCATCGACCACATTACTATGTCTTCTATACACATGTTCAAACCACCTAAATTAATTCTCTTTCAATTTATCTCCTATTTTGTGCTACTTTCACGGTCTCACGAATATAAACGTTCTAATTNACACATTACTATGTCTTCTATACATATGTTCAAACCACCTAAATTAATTCTCTTTTAATTTATCTCCTATTTTGTGCTACTTTCACGGTCTCACGAATATAAACGTTCTAATTTTATGTTTTCTTAGTTTATCACACATCCATCTTAACATTCTCATTTCTACAACAAAATTTTTTTAGTATTATTTATTAATTGTCGGACATTTTGTACCATAAAGCATTGCTAGTCTAATTGTNCCACATTACTATGTCTTCTATACACATGTTCAAACCACCTAAATTAATTCTCTTTCAATTTATCTCCTATTTTGTGCTACTTTCACGGTCTCACGAATATAAACGTTCTAATTTTATGTTTTCTTAGTTTATCACACATCCATCTTAACATTCTCATTTCTACAACAAAATTTTTTTAGTATTATTTATTAATTGTCGGACATTTTGTACCATAAAGCATTGCTGGTCTAATTGTTCTCTTATAACACGAACACGGATACGACACGACACGGACACACGAATACGACATTTCTCAAAAAAATTGGACACAGACACGGACACATTGGGGACACGCTACAAAAAAATTATATTTTATATATAACATTATATAATTTATTACAAATNAAATTTTTTTAGTATTATTTATTAATTGTCCGACATTTTGTACCATAAAGCATTGCTAGTCTAATTGTTCTCTTATAACACGAACACGGATACGACACGACACGGACACGCGAATACGACATTTCTCAAAAAAATAGGACACAGACACAAACACATTGGGGACACGCTACAAAAAAATTATATTTTATATATAACATTATATAATTTATTACAAATATAGTGATAATGATATACAATTCATAAAAAAATCAGTATTTTATGATAAGAAAACCTAATGTCTAGTCATCTATGTGAATTTTTAGACTAAAACATCCTCATTATAGTCAATAATCATCAATTTTTTTTGTAGATAATGTGTACCTAATATATACTTTAAATAATTGCTCTCATTTTCTCAATTCCTCATTTTCTCAATCTGGGATTTGTCCAATAAAGTCATGACCAAGGTTACCTGGATCGTGGGTCCGTTGGGTACGTTGTACAGGTACAAGTGCGGAGTAAGTTATTTTTTTGCGGTGCGTAGTGCGGTATAGGTAAGCTTAGCTGGTACGCTNTAATGTGTACCTAATATATACTTTAAATAATTGCTCTCATTTTCTCAATCTGGGATTTGTCCAATAAAGTCATGACCAAGGTTACCTGGATCGTGGGTCCGTTGGGTACGTTGTACAGGTACAAGTGCGGAGTAAGTTATTTTTTTGCGGTGCGTAGTGCGGTATAGGTAAGCTTAGCTGGTACGCTATTTTGGGTCACGGTTCGCTTTGAACTATTATTCGAATCGTTTTCATTATTACAAAGAATTATATAAATATATATATTATAAAATACAAATCAAGACCAACAACACATCAACTAATAATCATGTATAATATTATCAAAAAAAGACAGCATATAAATTTAAAAACTTAAAATTTTAAAAATAACATACTNGGAGGTAGGCTTAGCTGGTACGCTATTTTGGGTCACGGTTCGCTTTGAACTATTATTCGAATCGTTTTCATTATTACAAAGAATTATATAAATATATATATTATAAAATACAAATCAAGACCAACAACACATCAACTAATAATCATGTATAATATTATCAAAAAAAGACAGCATATAAATTTAAAAACTTAAAATTTTAAAAATAACATACTAGAGAGCGATTAAATAGGTTCCTACTTAAAGCTCAAATCAAAATAACAGNTATCTCAAAAAAAGACAGCATATAAATTTAAAAACTTAAAATTTTAAAAATAACATACTAGNATTATCAAAAAAAGACAGCATATAAATTTAAAAACTTAAAATTTTAAAAATAACATACTAGAGAGCGATTAAATAGGCTCCTACTTGAAGCTCAAATCAAAATAACAGTCTTAAACATCTAACAAGTCTCAAATAAAAATTACTTAATAATAAAAAAAAATTGGAGCACATGAGTTAATTGTCAACTCTTTTCCCTTTATCTTTGGCAGTGTTCCCTCCTCTTGCAAAGTTACTAATTTGAGTCTAATGTAGTCCAGAATGACGGAGCGGTGACCTGCTAGAACTAGTAGGTAGCTTGTCAATAGAGACGGGCATAGAAGCATGCAAGAATGAAGCTTCCTGATNTCAACTCTTTTCCCTTTATCTTTGGCAGTGTTCCCTCCTCTTGCAAAATTACTAATTTGAGTCTAATGTAATCCAGAATGACGGAGCGGTGACCTGCTAGAACTAGTAGGTAGCTTGTCAATAGAGACGGGCATAGAAGCATGCAAGAATGAAGCTTCCTGATCTTCATCTCTAGCAATGGTAGAATTATCTGTATTGTCATCCTCCAAGGATTTCTATCGCAAATCCTCCAATCTCACACTAGAATCATGACCTTAAAGTCAACCATGTCTCGATCCATTATTTTGAATGTATCTTTAATTGATCCCGTCGTCGGTGAAGGTTGCCGCTTCATCAATGTAAAATTTTTCACGGATAAAAAANCTATCTGTATTGCCATCCTCCAAGGATTTTCATCGCAAATCCTCCAATCTCACACTAGAATCATGACTTTAAAGTCAACCATGTCTCGATCCATTATTTTGAATGTATCTTTAATTGATCCCGTCGTCGGTGAAGGTTGCCGCTTCATCAATGTAAAATTTTTCACGGATAAAAAAACTCTTATTTTATGTGTCTTTTGTACTCTTTCTCGCAATTTTACATATTCAGTCAAATTTTTCATCAACGCTTGACACCGTTTAATTTCTGTTTTTTTTTCGAGTGGGGCACCAAAAAAATGGTAATGCATTCGAGTATATGAACTTATAAATTTACTACTGCAATGCTTACATGACCAACTCTTTGATCCCTTTGAATTTTTTCCTTGAGCTGCACCAATAAGATTGACTTCATTGAGTATTGGTTTCAATTTTGCATCAACTTGTAATTGATCTTCCTGTGTACAATTTTTTATAGTTGTCTAATGTTATCTTCTTCCGTTACTTCAATATGTTCAACTTCTTGTTGATTAGCAAAATCATCCAAATTCTAAATATTAATTCTGAATTGTTCTTCAATCTGAAAAGAATCTTTTTCTTCCCTCCTTTTTCCAAAAACTATTTTTTAAGTAATAAGAATTGAAGTATTCGACACAGTAGAGCTATTGAAGGAATAATTGAGGAAGAGGGAGGCAATAGCCGTCGATACAGACTATNGAAGAATCTTGTTCTTCCCTCCTTTTCCAAAAACTATTTTTTAAGTAATAAGAATTAAAGTATTCAACACAGTAGAGATATTGAAGGAATAATTGAGGAAGAGGGAGGCAGTAGCCGTCGATACAGACTATAGTGAGGCTGCAGTTGGGATTAAAATATAATTGACATTAAAAAATATTATATATAGGGTTGTAGTTAACGTGTATGTGTATATTTTCTAAACTAATTTTAACTTTTTTATCCAAATTATATTCTCTATTTTTATAAAATAAGTGGGGTTTTATGGTAATTTCACACCACCTAGGTATTAATTAAGAGTCAAGTAAATATTTCCCAAGTCTCCCACTCCCAGACAACAAGAGTCGGTGGCAATTAAGAGAGAGAGAGAACGAAGTTCTCGTCTCCTCGGCAGTCGTCGACGACGAAATCGAAACAGAGAGAGAGAAACCGAGAGGGCGATGAACCAGAGAACTCAGTTCATCACGAAGAAGAAGCCGAATCGATGCAAAGAAAACGAAGAAGTCGAAGCAAAGAAATCGAGGCAGTGTCAGGCTTGACCCGACTGATAGGAGGACCCAAAATAGGTTACTTTTCACGGGCATTGTTCGTTGCCGAGAAAGAGTCTTAGAATAGACATTGATCTCTTTCTTTCCTACCTCGAAAACATTATCGATTCAACCCTGCAACCCCAAACCAGAGAAGCAAAGAAATCGAACCGAAGAACCAAAAGCAGAGATCCATTGAGTAAGTTACCTACTCTTTACTTTAGCCTATTATAACTTAATCTGTATAATTTACAATGATTTGGTTTGATATGGGGTTAGGGTTTATATTGGAGATCTGGGTTTTGTTTATTGATTGGATAAACAGTTGGGGTCGGAGATAGTAGTGATCCAGGTCGCGAACGACCCACGTTTGGGGTT